TGGATTGGAAGAAAAAATATTATTAAAATGTGTATGCTACCCAAAGCAGTCTACATGTTGAATGCAATCCCTATCAAAATACCATCAGCATTGGGACGCCTGGGTGCCTCAGTCGGTTAAGTGTTTGCCTTCGGCTCAGGTCATGATCTCAGGGTCCTGGGATCAAGTCCTGCATCGGGCTCCTTGCTTGGCAGGGAGCCTGCTTCTCCCTCTGCCTGCCGCTCCCCCTACTTGTGCTTCTCTGACAAATAAATAAAATCTTTAAAAAAAAAAATACCACCAGCATTTTTCAGAGGTAGAACAATCCTAAAATTTGTATGGAACTAGAAAAGATCCCTAATAGCCAAGATAATGTTGAAAAAGAAAATCAAAGCTGGAGGTGTCACAGTTCCAGACTTCAAGCTGTATTACAAACCTGTAATCATCAAGACAGTACGGTACTGGCACAAAACAGACACATAGATCAGTGGAACAGAATAGAGAGCCCAGAAATGGACCCTCAACTCTATGGTCAACTCATCTTTGACAAAGCAGGAAAGAATGTTCAATGGAAAAAAGACAGTCTCTTCAACAAATGGTGTTGGGAAAACTAGACAGCCACATGCAGAAGAATGAAACTGGACCACTTTCTTACACCATGCACAAAAAATAAACTCAAAATGGAATAAGACCTAAATGTGAGACAGGAATCCATCAAAATCCTAGAGAACACAGGCAGCAACCTTTGACCTCAGCTGCAGCAACTTCTTAGTAGACATGTCTCCAAAAGCTAGGGAAAGAAAAGCAAAAATGAACTATTGGGACTTCACCAGGATAAAAAGCTTTTGCACAATCAAAAGGAAACAATCAACAAAACTCAAAGGAAACCTATGGAGTGGGAGAAGATATTTGCAAATGACATATCAGATAAAGGGCTAGTATCCAAAACGTATAAAGAACATATCAAACTCAATACCCAAAAAACAAATAACTTACAAATCACTTACAATTCCACTACCTAGAGATAAACACTATTTTTAGCATTTGTCCTCTGAATTTTCATTTAATTGTGAATTATTAATGATGTGGTATAGTTATCTGTGAAACAAAAAATTCTGGAGATATATACATCAACCTTCAAATAGTGCTAAGCCTAGAAGATAGAATAATGAGGAACCTTTCTTTCTACATATTATAATTCTGCAGTATGTGGAATTTCAAAGAGTAGGTATTATTTTCATTAACTATATATAAATAAACTATATATATAATATCTTATAGAGCATGTAGTATATCCTCCTTATATCCATTTATATTTTTAAAATATATTTTTTAATGTTTTTGTTTAAAAATTTTCAGCCGTATTGGTGATAATTGCCCCACTTATCATAATTTGACATGTCCTCCAAATATGTAGAATTAATCTGTTGAATTGGGGATTACTTATGTCTAATGACTTTAGAAGTATCTTTTTATTAACAAATATAATGAATCATCACATATTCATGTTCTGGCTGTAAAACTGAACAAAGTATGACCATAGCTTATTTCTTTAAAATACAGATATAGCTTTTTCTCAGATCTCTTTCAAACAAGTAAAACTTAATTTGTGAAAATAACATTTTATTTTCATTTTGATTTTAAATCGTGGCTTAAAATTTGTGATCAAAATTATATTCATCCAGTTAGGCAATATTTGCACCATTATTGGCCTTTTCTATTTCTGTCTCTTGGTAGCTTACCTTACTATTTGGTTTATAAGTACCCTTACTATCCATAAATTATCAAAAAAAATGTTTACATAAAGAAAGTGAGGTTAGGGTAAGAGAGGTGACTTTAGTTCGCATACAGACTTCTGAACCCCAACCACATTAAACTGCCTCTCAAATATGTGTATTTGCTCACGTAACAAGATTTACATTGTGTTTTATCAGATACTAACCTTAAAATATTTTCTGTGACCTTTGCAGTATAGGATTTTATTGATGATATACCATCAGTTTCAGTAGTCCTACACAGTCTTTTTAGTAAGTATGAATAGGTTAATTCAGTGAATTTATCAGCATTACTGTAAAAATATTTCAAAATATATTTACTACTATGGTCATAAACCCTCATACTAGCTGCATCATTTCTAGATACTAAAAACATTTTTTGTGTGAGAGACAGACAGACATGACTGCACTCAAAGGAACTAAAATTTTTATATTCTGAAAACCATGACTTTATTTCTCTGTGCCTTAATCTTCCTCATCTATAATGTGGATAGTAACTACTTGATCAGATTCTTGGTGAGAATTAATGAGATAATAACACTTAAATAAGCACTCTAAACGGTTCCTCACACATCAGACCTCAGTAAATGCTAACTGTGATTATCACTGATCCATAAATAGGATGGATTGATCCTTCATATAATTTTTCATAGGCAAAGTTTGCACCAAATTAAAATCTAAATAAGGCTCAGAGGGACCCACATATGTTTTTCATGTCTTCAGAAAGGTAACTCGTATTAATTAACCAAATAAAATATATGACAGTTTAATAAAATATGTCAGTGTTATAAATGTTCTAAAGAAGGCTTACCTCGGGGCGCCTGGGTGGCTCAGTCGTTAAGCGTCTGCCTTCGGCTCAGGTCAGGATCCCAGGGTCCTGGGATCGAGCCCCGCATTGGGCTCCCTGCTCAGCGGGAAGCCTGCTTCTCCCTCTCTCACTCCCCCTGCTTGTGTTCCCTCTCTTGCTGTGTCTCTCTCTGTCAAATAAATAAATAAAATCTTTAAAAAAAAAAAAAAGGCTTACCTCATGTTTTGGAAATAATCTATTTTATAAGATCCTAGAAAATTCCAAAACTCTTTGGATCATACATGTTTACTGATGACATAGCATCAGTATCAGTATTCCTCGTGGTCTTTTTAAAAAGCATGAGTAGTTATTAGAAAAATATATGTCATAGGAGCCATCCCGATGAGATGTAACTAATTCTTCAAAATATTCTGTATACATAAATCATACTGTTTTTAAAGTAATTTAAATGTTAATTCAAATAAGAGTTTTCCTCACAAAGTGATTTACTTAGTACTGAAGTATGTGCAATATAAAAATATTCTTCTGTTTATAAAACAAAAGTGCCTTAAAAGTTATTAGTTACATTTTTAGTGTGTAATTCAGTTTTCTCTTGACTTGCTCTATGGCAGGAGTTCTCAAAAAGTGTTGTTCAGAGAGTCTGCAAGGTCAAACCTAACTTTCGTACCTAGAGTTTACTCTTTGCTTTTTTCATACTCATTCTCTCATGAGTGTACAGTGGTGTTTTCCAGAGGCAGATGATATGCAACAATACAACAGATTGAACATAGAAGTAGATATGAGAATCTGGCTGTCTTCTGTTGAGCCAGACATTAAGGAAATTTGCAAAAATGTAAAATACCATTCTTCTAAAAAATTTTCAGTTTTGGAAAATGTACTTATTTTTCATAAAAAATGTTATTTATGTTAACCTGTAATGGCTTTAGTTATTATCTTTGAAGAGATTAGTAAATATTTTGAAATATTCCCAGTTTTCACTCCTAATATGGTAAACTTTAATAGAAATTCACTCTCCCTCCACTATCATGGTAAAGTCTTGACTCTTTAATATACCATGTGCTTATTTTTTTTAATTTAATTTTATTATGTTAATCACCATACATTACATCATTAGTTTTTGATGTAGTGTTCCATGATTCATTGTTTGCATATGACACCCAGTGCTCCATTCACTACGTGCCCTCTTTAATACCCATCACCAGGCTAACCCATCCCCCCACCCCCCATTTGTTTCAGAGGTACAGGTCTGTGATTCATCAGTCTTACACAATTGACAGCGCTCACCATAGCACATACCCTCCCCAATGTCTATCACCCAGCTACCCCATCCCTCCCACCCCCCACCACTCCAGCAACCCTCAGTTTGTTTCCTGAGATTAAGAATTCCTCATATCAGTGAGATCATATGATACATGTCTTTCTCTGCTTGACTTACTTTGCTTAGCATAATACCCTCTAGTTCTATCCACGTCAGTGCAAACAGCAAGATTTTTTTGATGGCTGCATAATATTCCATTGTATATATATACCACCTTTTCTTTATCCATTCATCTGTTGATGAACATCTTGGCTCTTTCCATAGTTTGGCTATTGTGGACATTGCTGCTATAAACATCAGGGTGCATGTACCCCTTCGGATCACTACATTTGTATCTTTGGGGTAAATACCCAGTGCAATTGCTGGGTCATAGGGTAGCTCTATTTTCAACTTTTTGAGGAACCTCCATACTGTTTTCCAGAGTGGCTGCACCAGCTTGCATTCCCACCAACAGTGTAGGAGGGTTCCCCTTTCTCTGCATCCTCGCCAACATCTGTCGTTTCTTGACTTGTTAATTTTAGCCATTCTGACTGGTGTGAGGTGGTATCTCATTGAGGTTTTTATTTGGATTTCCCTATGCCGAGCGATATTGAGCACTTTTTCATGTGTCTGTTGGCCGTTTGGATGTGTCCATCAAAATCCTAGAGGAGAACACAGGCAGCCACCTCTTCAACCTCAGCCGCAGCAACTTCTTCCTAGAAACATTGCCAAAGGCAAGGGAAGCAAGGGCAAAAATGAACTATTGGGACCTCATCAAGATAAAAAGCTTTTGCACAGCAAAGGGAACAGTCAACAAAACCAAAAGACAACCGACAGAATGGGAAAAGATATTTGCAAATGACATACCAGATAAAGGGCTAGTATCCAAAATCTATAAAGAATTTATCAAACTCAACACCCAAAGAACAAATAACCCAATCAAGAAATGGCAGAAAACATGAACAGACATTTTTCCAAAGAAGACATCCAAATGGCCAACAGACACATGAAAAAGTGCTTGTTTTTTATGACCTAAGAGTTACAATTTTATTTTTTATCAAAATTATTATCCTAAATATTTTTATTGGGTATTAATCATTTTTTGAAAACCTAAACAATTTATAAATGTCTTAATTTACAGGTTGCAAGCACAAGGAAACAGTATAATGTACAGATTTCTCGACTAAAAGAAGAACTTTCAGCCCTTCAAATGGTATGTTAGAAGACTATATTGATATTTTCTTCTGAATATTGATTATTTTAAAGGCCAGGATGCATTTTAATGTATCTTGTAATGGGCATTCTTGTTCATTCAGAAGATACTTATTAAGCCAGGAATTATGCTAGATGCTTGGAGCAGAGTAAAAATCAAAATAAACATGTTACCTGCAATCTTGGAACTTATGGTCTAGCAAGAAAGATCGATGGCATTTATCAGATTTTACTACAATTACTTTTTTTGACAAAGAACACACAGCGTGCTATTGAAGCACCCATCTGCAACTGCTACCATATGCCAGGTTCATCTGGGAGATGAGGGAGAAAGAGAACGTATATATGACAGTGGGAAAGAAGAAAGACAAGCTTCCCAAAAGAAATGAGTACTGAAGTATAAGTAAGCAAAGAGGAGAAAGGAAAAGAGTACTTGTGTGTCTAGAGGTGAAATTAAATATAAATTTAACAACAAGATTTGATGAAATGGAATTTAATAGCCTTGTTTACAGTGGAATAAAAGTACAAGAATTTTCAGAGATTGGGAAGATATTTTCAACTTCACAAACTCTAATTTTCTGAATCTCTATATCGCTTTTAATCTTGACTACAAAACTTAGCAATGAATAATGTTTTGTAATAAATATGTTACATTATGTTAGTTCTCTCTGTCTCCTGTCTCCCTCCTACCTTCTCCCTTCCTCTTTCTTCTTGAAAATCTTACCTTTCCAATTAGATTGTAAATACCTCAAAGTAGAAGAGTCTTAAGCCTCCTTTTATTTTCCCCATTGCCTAGAAGTGTTTTCACAGCATGTTCTTTAATAAATATTTACTGACTGGTATTTAAACAACTCTGAAAGAAGGAGCACATGTTCCACATTCTACAAACTCTGTAATGTACATGATGAGACTTTTGTCTTTGTGTATAGATCCTGAGAGTAATAGAATAAGAAATTGTTACTTATTGTTTGTTTAATGTCATCTGTTTTAAGGATGGAGGAATATTAAGTAAAATTAATGGGATGCCATGTGGCCAATTAGTCATGTCTAATTATCTGTTGTTTTTCAGTTTTGCTTCCTCTTCTATCACCTTCCTATTTTGCTTGTTCTCTTACGTGGACTGATTTAGCTATCAACAGATTCACAGCTTAGAAAAAGTAGGTCCTACCCCAGTCCAGCATCATTTAATGGCTTGTAAACTCTGAAAGGACAAGAACACTATTTCTTTCTCTTTCCCCAAAGGAATGTGTATTGGATAAGATCTGCAGCAATTTTTAAAATAATAACTCTTAACAACCACAACCAGAGTTATATAAACTCACTTTAGAGCAAAAATTTTTATTTCAGTTTATTACAAAAGGTGTTTCTTATGATTTATAGTAAAACAATTGTAATCCATAGCTAAGTGGATTTTTCTAAAGATATTAAATATTATCTGATGTCATATTGATTCCATGGGGAAAACTGTGCTGATTAATTGAAAAGTGTTTTAAATATTAGGCATTGAGAAATATGCCTGAAGGAAGACACTTTAAAGAGCAGATTTTCTCAGGTAACTCAAAAACTCAGACTATGGTTTGAGACATAATAACCTGACATTGGCTATTGATTTATATTCTTAAGTACTGAAGTCAAGGAGAGAAGTTAAGCATACTTTAGCTAACCCAAAACTAAGTTATGCTTGTAGGAAGGAGAAAAACTTGTGTTTTAGGTTAGTGTGCAGATTTTTTGATAGGTTTAAGAAAAGACCAGAGCCAGTCTAGCCACATATCTCCCTTTGGAAAGCAGCACAGCTTTTACTTTCTCCTACAGGGTACAGTTTCTTTTAAGAATACTCAAGGTTGGGGCGCCTGGGTAGCTCAGATGGTTAAGCATCTGCCTTCGGTTCAGGTCATGATTCCAGGGTCCTGGGATTGAGCCCCATGTCTGGTTCCTGGCTCAGCGGGGATCCTGCTTCTCCCTCTGCCTCTCCCCCTGCTCGTGCTCCCTCTCTCTCTCTCTCTCTGTATCTCTGTGTCTCAAATGAATAAATAAAATCTTTAAAAAAAAAAATACTCAAGGTTTTTTGGGTGTTGAGTTTAAGAAGTTCTTTATAGATCTTGGATATCAGCCCTTTGTCTGTAGTGTTATTTGCAAAAATCTTCTCTCATTCCATGGGTTGCCTCTTTGGTTTGTTGACTGTTTCCTTTGCTGTGCAGAAGCTTTTTATCTTAAGTCCCAAAAGTTCATTTTCGCTTTTGTTTAGCTTGCCTTTGGGGACGTGTCTTGAAAGAAGTTGCTGTGGCTGATGTCGAAGAGGCTACTGGATTTTGATGGATTCCTGTCTCACATTGAGGTCTTCCATCCATTTTGAGTTTATCTTTGTGTATGATGTGAGAGAATGGTTGAGTTTCATTCTTCTCTATATAGCTGTCCAATTTTCCCAGCACCGCTTATAGAAGAGACTGTCTTTTTTCCATTGCATTTTTTTTTCCTGCTTTGTCGAAGATTATTTGACCATAGAGTTGAGGGTCCATATCTGGGTTCTCTATTCTGTTCTGTTGGTCTATGTGTCTGTTTTTGTGCCAGTACCATGCTGTCTTGGTGATCACAGGTTTGTAATACAGCTTGAAATCAGGCAACGTGATGCTCCCAGCTTTGTTTTTCTTTTCCAACATTTCCTTGGCTATTCAGGGTCTTTTCTGATTCCATACAAATTTTAGGATTGTTTGTTCCAGCACTTTGAAAAATGCCATTGGAATTTTGATAGGGATGGCGTTGAAGGTATAGATTGCTCTGGGCAGCATAGACATTTTAACAGTTTTTATTCTTCCGATCCTTGAGACAACGACTGGATAAAGAAGATGTGGTCCATATATACAATGGAATATTAGCCATCAGCAAGGATGAATACCCAACTTTCTCATCAACATGGATGGGACTGGAAGAAATTATGCTAAGTGAAATAAGTCAAGCAGAGAAAGTCATTTATCATATGGTTTCACTTATTTGTGGAACATAAGGAATGGAGGACATTAGGAGAAGGAAGGGAGAATTGAAGGGGAGGAAGTCAGAAGGGGAGACAAGCCATGAGAGACTATGGACTCTGAGAAACAAACTGAGGGCTTTAGAGGGGATGGGGTGGGGGGATGGGTTAGCCCGGTGATGGGTGTTAAGGAGGGCACGTATTGCATGGAGCACTGGGTGTTATATGCAAACAATGAATCATGGAACACTACATCAAAAAGTAATGACATACTGTATGGTGACTAACATAATAAAATTTAAAAAAATTAAAAAGCAAAAAAAAAAAATACTCAAAGTTTTAATTCTGCCAACTAGCAGAGATTGCTGTTAATCTACAGCAAATGAGTAAGAAGATTGGTTATTAATTTTATACAATTTAAATGAAAAGTTCCTTATGATCTTTTTTGGATCAGTGAATTTAAAAAAAAAATTTTTTTTTTTAATTTTGAATCTCCACATCCGTAGGTATTTAGATATCTTTTTACTGTTGTTTTCTAATCCAGTTAAATAGATGCCACAGATTATAATCTATATGATATTGATTCTTTTTTTTTTTTTTAAAGATTTTATTTATTTATTTGAGAGAGAATGAGAGACAGAGAGCATGAAAGGGAGGAGGGTCAGAGGGAGAAGCAGACTCCCTGCCGAGCAGGGAGCCCGATGCAGGACTCGATCCTGGGACTCCAGGATCATGACCTGAGCTGAAGGCAGTCGCTTAACCAACTGAGCCACCCAGGCGCCCTATATGATATTGATTCTTAATATTTGTTTTGATTTTCCTTATGGTAGACTATATAGGATATGATTTTGAAAATACTCCATGAGTACTTGAAAAAATATTTAGTATCATTTGGTCATATCTTTCCCAAAAGGTAGGAGTATTGGTGGTGATTAATAGCAAATGTCATGAAAGCTTTTTAATAATAGTAATTTTAAATGTTTGCTTTAGCATTACAGTGAATTTTTAATAGAATTAATATATTTCTCTATAAAGGTTTCAACTTTTCTGTCTTATTTTAACTTTATTTGAGGTTAACCCAATACTCTTTCAGTCCTCATTTTATCAGTGAAATGGTGGATTGTGTGGAGAGAGATGCATAGTGTATTTATCATGTACCTTTCTTTATATGTCATTCACCAGATTCAGAAGTGTGATCCAACCTGGTTATTAATATCTACATTAAAAATCATATGGGAATCATATCAATAGCTGCAGAAAAAGCATTTGACAAAATCCAACCCCCATTCATGATAAAAACTCCCAGTAACTAGAAACAGAGGAGAACTTCCTCAACTTGATAAAGAATATCTACAAAAAGCCTACAGCTGTGAAACCCAAAAGCTTTCCCAGTAAGATCAGGAACAAGGCAATCATGTGCCCTCTCACCACTGCTTTACAACATCAAGCTGGAAGTACTCTAATGCAATTTGACTAAAAAAGGAAATAAACGTTGTACAGATTGGGAAGAAAGAAATTTGTTTGCAGATGACATGATTGTCTATGTGGAAAACAAACCAAAAAAAAGAACAAAAAAACTGTGGAACAAAAAAGCAATTACAGCATACAAGGTTGCAGGATACAGGGATAATATACAAAAGTCAAGTGTTTTCCCATATACCAGCAATGAACAAATGGAATTTTAAATTAAAAACATTGTGCCATTTACCTTAGTACATAAAAAAATTACTAAGTTATATATCTAACAAAATATGAGGAAAACTCTGATGGAAGATATCAGAGAAGAAGTAAATAAATGAAGAGATAGCCCATGTTCATGGATAGGAAGACTCAAAGTCAAAATGTCAGTTTTTCCCAGCCTGACCTATAGATTGAGTACAATCCCAGTCAAAATCCCAGCAAGTTATTTTGTGGATATTGACAAACTGATTCTAAAGTTTATCTGGAGAAAACAGTATCCAAAATCTATAAAGAACTTATCAAACTCAACACCCAAAAAACAAATAATCCAGTTAAGAAATGGGCAGAAGACATGAATAGACACTTTTCCAAAGAAGACATCCAGATGGCCAACAGACACATGAAAAGATGCTCAGCATCACTCATTATCAGGGAAATACAAATCAAAACCACGATGAGATACCACCTCACACCTGTCAGAATGGCTAAAATTAATAGCACAAGAAACAACAAGTGTTGGTGAGGATGCAGAGAAAGGAGAACACTCTTGCATTGTTGGTGGGAATGCAAACTGGTGCAGCTGCTGTGGAAAACAGTGTGGAGGTTCCTCAGAACGTTAAAAATAGAACTACACTATGATCCAGCAGTTACACTACTAGGTATTTACCCAAGGGATGAAAAAATACAGATATGAAGGGGTACATACACCTCAGTGTTTATAGCAGCATTATCAATAATAGCCAAACTATGGAGAGAGCTCAAATGTCCATTGACTGATGAATGGATAAAGAAGAGGTGTTATATATATGGGAATATTACTCAGCCATCAAAAAGAATGAGATCTTGCCATTTGCAACAATGTGGATGAAGCTAGAGTGTATTATACTAAGCAAAATAAGTCAATCAGAGAAAAATACCATATGATCTCACTCATATGTGGAATTTAGGAAATGAAACAAATGAACATATGACAAGGGGAGAAAAAGACAGAGAGAGGAAAACAAACCATAAGAGACTCTTAACAATAGAGAACAGGGCACCCGGGTGGCTTAGTTGGTTAAGCGTCTGCCTTCGGCTCAGGTCATGATCCCAAGGTCCTGATATTGAGTCCCAGGTCGGGTTCCCTGCTCAGCTCCCTACTCAGCAAGGAGTCTGCTTCTCCCTCTGCCTCCCCCTCCCCCGCTCATGTGCACATGCACACTCTCTCTCTTTCTCAAATAAAATCTTGAAGAAAAAAAAAAACCAATAGAGAACAAACTGAGGGCCAGTGGAGGGAGGTGGATGAAGGTTGGGCTAAATGGGTGTTGGGTATTAAGGAAGGCGCTTGTTATATTGAGCACTAGGTGTTGAATATAAGTGATGAATCACTGAATTCTACTCCTGAAACCAATATTGCACTGTATGTTACTAATTAGAATTTAAATAAAAATTCAAAAAATAATAATTTTTAAATAAATAAAACTTATCTGGAGAGACAAAAGACCCAAAAATAGCCAACACAGTATTGAAGGAGAAGAACAAAATCAGAGGACTGACACTACCAGATTTCAAGAATTACTATAAAGCTATAATAAGCTAGCATGATATTGGTGAAAAATTAGACAAATGGAATAAAATACAGAATCTGGAATGGGATAAAATATAGTCCCACATAAATGCAGTCAGCTGATCATTGACAAAGATGCAAAGGCAATACAATGATTCAAAGACAATCTTTTTAGCAAATGGTGCTAGGACAATTAGACATTCACATGTAAAAGAATGAATATAGACACAGACCTTACACCCTCCACAAAAATTAATTCAAAATGGTCACAGACCTAAATGTAAAACACAAAACTATAAAATTCATAGAAGATAAATAGAAGAAAATCTGGATGATCTTGGGTTTGGCAGTGAATTTTGGGGTATAACATCAAAGGCATGACCCATGAAACAATTGATAAGTTGGACTGAATTAAAATGAAAAATTTCTCTGTGAAAGACCCTGTCAAGAGAATGAAAATTCAAACCACAGACAGGGAGAAAATATTTGCAAAAGGCATAGCAGATAAAGGACTATTATCCAAAATATATGAAGAACTCTTAAAACTTAATAAGAAAACAACTCAATTAAAAAGTGGGCACGTGGAGCACCTGGGTGTCTCAGTTGTTAAGCATCTGCCTTCGGCTCAGGTCATGGTCCCAGGGTCCTGGAATCGAGCCCCGCATCGGGCTCCCTGCTTGGCAGGGAACCTGCTTCTCCCACTCCCACTCCCCCTGATGTATTCCCTCTCTCCCTGTCTCTCTCTCTGTCTGTGTCAAATAAATAAAATCTTTAAAAAAAAAATAATAAGTGGGCACATGTTGTGATGAGCACTGGGTGTTATATGCAACTAATGAATCACTGGCTAACTGAACATAATAAAAAAAAAAAGTGGACCAAAGTTCTTAACAGACACCCCATCAAAGAAGATATGCAGATGGCATATAAGATTATGAAAAGATGCTACACATCATATTTCACCAGGGAAGTGCAAACTAAAACAATAATGAGCTGCTACTCATTACACCAAATATGTACCAGATACACCTATTACAATGGCCAAAATTCAGAACACTGACACCACCAAACTCTGGGAAAGATGTGGAGCAACAGGAATTCTCAATTCATTCATTGCTGGTGGAAATGCAAAATGGTATAGCCACTTTTGAAGGCAGTGTGATGGTTTCTTACAAAACTAAATATACTCTTACCATATGGTCCAACAATTGCACTCTTCTGTATTTACCCAAAAGAGTTGAAAACATATCCACATAAAAACCTGAACATGGATGTTTATAGCAGCTTTGTTCACAGTTGCCAAAACTTGGAAGCAACCAAGATGTCCTTTGGTTAGGCAAATGGACAAATAAACTGGTACATCCAGACAATGGAGTATTATTCAGCACTAAAAAGAAATGAGCTATCAAGCCATGAGAAGACATGGGGGAAACTAAAATGTATATTATTAAGTGAAAGAAGCTAGTCTGAAAAGGCTACATACTGTTTGACTCTAATTGACAGTCTGGGAAAGGCAAAACTCTGAAGACAGTAAAAACGTTTTCAGGGGTTTAGGAGGAGAGAGGGATGAATAAGCATAGGTGAAGCACAGAGGACTTTTAGAACAGTGAAACTACTCTGTATGGTACTATAATGGTGGGTACATGTCATTGCAAGTTTGTCCAAACCCGTAAAATGAACAGCACCAAGAGTGAACTCAAATGTAAACTATGGGCTTTGAGTGATAATGTTGTGTCAATGTAGGTTCATCAGTATTAATAAATAGACCATTACAGTGAGGGATGTTGAAAATGGGGGAGGGCTCTGCACATATGGGGACAAGAAATATAGTGGAAATCTCTAACTTGTCAATTTGCTGTTAACCTAAAACTGCTCTAAAAATAGTCTTTTAACAATCACATAAGATGAGTTATGAACATAGGAGAAATCCCAAATTTCACACCATAAAACCACTTTTTTATAGATTAGCAATTTACTGTATGAACATATGGCACATTAAAGTTTCATTTCTTGTACACTAACAATTCTGCCTTAATGAAAGATAATAAATTTGGATCAATCATCTGATTAGTAACATAGGGTTAAGGGTCTTCATTATAATCAGAATTCATTTGGGGTCACAATTTAGAAGCTCATTTTAAAATTTAAAACCATTGATATACAGTACTTCTGTAAAATAGAGTTATGCTAAAGATAATTGAATATCAGTAGTGTACTGCCAGTAAGGAGGTTCATCCAAAGCATAAAATACATTAATAGAAAATAATCACACCCATTCTCGAAAATAAATAGATAAAAACAAATAGCTATGAGGAACCAGTCATTATAAATGGTTGTTTTCAGTTTTACTCTCATTTGCAAAATACTAAATTTTATCAACTGATTGATATGCTTGCTCAGTTTTACTGATTAAAACCTTTGGAGCAGAAATGTTTTATGATCATGCTAATAAAATTTTTACTGTGTCCATTGGCTCTCTTCTCTTTTTTTTTGAGAGAACATGTGAACAGAGGGTGGGGGAGGAGAAGGGCAGAGGGAGAGGGAGAGAGAGAATCTTGAGCAGACTCCCCACTGAGCACAGAGCCCAGTGCAGAATTTGATCTCACAACCCTGAGATCATGACCTGAGCCGAAATCAAGAGTCAGACGCTTGCCAACTGAGCCACCCAGGCACCCCTTGGCTCTTTATAAGTTTTGCAAAAAAAAAAAAAGTTTTAGAATTTATTTATATACCTTTGTGCCTTTTAGGCCACAGGTTATCCTCAGGGTGTTGTGTCACTGTCCAGTTCTGTGTTCCTTTTCAAAATAAGTCATAAGAGTATATGAATAAAACTAATATGAGAAAAGGGTCTCATTTTTTTCTCTCTAGAATCCCTCAACCTCTGTCACCAATTTAGAATGTTTACTTAGAACTCCTGAGATAGGTAGCTCTTTGAAGATGGAGGTTTTTTGGTTTTGTTTTTGCTTAATAATCAGTATGGTCCTGCTGTATTGATAGGGTAAGTGTGGTATTCTTGTTATGAACAAATCATTTTATGTATCCATTTTTTCTTAAGATTTTACAAATATATTTATTTCCAATATGAATTGAATTTACAGGAGTGTGCTGAAAAACAAGGACAAATTGAACGAGCCATTAGGGAGAAAAAAGCAGTGGAAGGAGAACTAGAAAAGGTAAAAAAAAAACAAAAACCAAAACCTAACCTAAAACTCAACTGCAAATGCTCACTATTACTCTCCACTTTCATCACACTGCCTACTAGCAACCCCTACATTGTAAGTGAGTGTTTTTATTTGGAATATATTCACAGTCAACACTTAAATACTAGTATTGCCTGAATACATTTCTTTGTAAGAGTGGCCACAGTATATGTACTTTTTACTTAAAGGTATAAATTTTATGAAGTAGCTATATTCCTTGTTTAAACTTCATCCCAATAGTAAATTTTACTTGGTCTCCCTTCTGTTTTTAAATTTAATGCCAACTTTTATTGGGTGTAAGCTATTTATAAAAACAAGTATATATAACTAGAAAATTATAACATTACTCTAATTTTAACCTTTTAAAAGTATAGATTTTTATTTCTTAAGTAGGAAAATATTACCCCAATGATATTTGAGAAAAAATAATGTGAAAAGTCTATAGTTTAAAATTTTATTTCTTATTTAAATAACTTTTTTACCATCAGTAAATATCCCACTCTCATAAAATGCCTTGGGAAAACAGGGAAATGAAACTTGATGCAGCATATACTGTGTTTTAAGTGCTGCCTTAGGAACTCACAGAGGTTAAGTAACTTACCCACGCTAACAAGTAGTAAATGGTAGAGACAGAATTTGATGTTCAAAGAAGAACTACACAGTATAAAAAGCATGTGACATATCTGTATTAGTGACATAAAAAGATAATGACATCAGATAGTAAAAGAGTCACAAAAGCAGCATTTAGCAAAAGTATATATGTCATGTTCCAGGTAGGACATTTATGGTCACCAGTCTCCTGTGAGGTTGATTCCTTCTGAGTTACTGTTATGGAATAGGGATAGATCCCATTTAGATTGCTACCTACTGTACATCATGGCTGGGATAAATTTTTTAAATCACATGGCATAGATTAAGGAATAGGCTTAATTGGGGAAATGTAAAACAAGACTAAAGACAACAGGTAAAGAAAAGGCACAGGATATACACATGTCTGTATTTTAGTAGTGGGACATTAACTTGCTGATATCCTACCTTTTTATAGAGCAGGAGTGACAAAGCAGTCTTTTCAGTGGGAGAAGATACAGGTTGCTTGACCAGGCAGTCTGGATTTAGGGGGTAGCTATGGGTAGAATTTGTCTGAAATGTGAGCTGCTTAGCACCTGGAGACTTTACAGTTCTCAGGATGTTACAGCCCCTGTGTTGTGGTAGGAAGCCTGTCTTATAAGAAGCTGAGCTTGGGTACACCCACTCCTGTTGGGAAAAGAGGCACCCCCCTTTCAGTTAGATTATGGTCTAGTTAATCCAGAGTAAGATTATAGAATCACTTTCAGATAGTTCTGTTTATTGCACCATAGCATATGTCTGTATTCTTTAATATCAGAATACAGAACTGTCTTTTTTTTTTTTTTAAAGATTTTATTTATTTATTTGAAAGAGAAAACATGCATGAGCATACTCGCCACTGAGCAGAGAGCCCAAAGCAGGGCTCAATCTCAGGATCCCAAGATCATTACCTGAGCCAAGGCAGACACTTAACCAACTGAGCCACCAGGTGTGCCTGAATATAGAATTGTCTTGAAGGGTGTTCAAAACAATTTAATCAAAACAGTTATCTCTCATTGGTGACATTTAGAATATTTCTTTTCTTTCAATATTTTACATTTCTTTTTAAAATAATAAAACTATCCCCAGGACCAAATGGCTTCACAACATATTCTACCAAACAGTTGAAGAGTTAATACCTATTCTTCTCAAACTATTCCAAAGAACAGAAAAGGAAGGAAACCTTCCAAATTCATTCTGTGAGGCCAGCTTCACCCTGACCAGGTAAAGACACTACTAAACAGAACTGCAGGCCATTATCCCCGATGAACATGGATGTAAAATCCTCAGTAAAAATACTAGCAAACTGAATCCAGCAATACATTAAAAAAATCATTCACCATGATCAAGTGAGATTTATTCCTGGGTTGCCAGAGTGGTTCAATATTTGCAAATCAATCAACATGACACATCACATTAATGAAAGGATAAAATAAATAATTTTTAAAATAACATATTAAAACTAGTTTACAGTGAGCATGAATACTTTCAAAAATAATTTTTATGTGTCAGTTTTCAACATTTTTTAAATATGAAATAACCAAAGTTACTGATATGTCTTACTGTGTAACGATGGGAACAGATGAACACATGATTATGGGTTTTTATTTATCATTGATTTCAGTTTCTAAACTGTAATTTCTTAAGACAGTTTTCTTCTGTAAGGTAATATACATATAATCTTTTGCAGATTTACCATGAAGGTAGAGTAAATCAAAGTGATTACAGAAAACTAGAAGAAATGCACCAAAGATGTCTGGTTGCAGAGCGTTCAAAAGATGATCTTCAACTAAGACTTAAGACAGCAGAAAATAAAATAAAACAACTTGAAATAAAGTAAGTTATTCTTTTCGATTTTCTGTTAACATTTTCAGAATTCATACACTTTCTGACAGACTCTTTACTTTTTTTAAATAGGACTGACATATATGATGAAAAAAAACTTTTTAGCACCAAATAGAATCTTTTAAGCGTCTTTCTTTCTTTTTTTTTTTTTTAAGATTTTATTTATTTACTTTACAGATAGAGAGAGCACAAGCAGGGGAAGCAGCAGGCAGAGGGAGAGGGATAAGCAGGCCCCCCGCTGAGCAAGGAGACTGATGTGGGGCTCGATCCCAGGACCCTGGGATCATGATCTGCACTGAAGGCAGACGCTTAACCAACTGAGCCACCCGGTTGCCCCTTTAAGCTTATTTCTGAAAACTAATTTCCTCAGGAAGAAAAGATTTAACAGTATTATACCGTTTTATTTTAAATTTCTCCTTTTTGGCAGTTAAATAGAATGCTAATAAGACTGAGTTCTTTTCATACTAACTATGCAGCTTTTACAGTAGCTTCCTTATAATTATTGCTTTTATACTCAGTTTATACTTACATTTCTTTTGTTATTGAATATTCTATAATAATCCATCATGTTTATTTATTACATTGTCTACTAAAATGGTAAATTTATAGTCTGGCATATCCCTTCTGAATATTTTTCTACCTTTTCCCCCAGAGTGTTATTTAATACAGTAAAACTTAATTTGAATTATGTGAAATCTCAGTCTGTTACAGAATATGTTTAATATTTCAAAAATAAAGAGGAATAATGTCAGCAACACAGTGGAATGAATTGGAGGTACCCAGCCCATGTCCCTCCACAGAAAAATATATGAAAGGCATCCCTGGACAAAAATGCTTTTGTGAGAGCTTTGGGATCCAGGTAGGAGGTTACAAAACACTGCTGGAGCCCAAAAACAGGGAGGGAAGCTTACGCACCAGTGGCAGTGCACACTATGGTCCCATCTACCTATGGTCTTGGCTCTAAGCCTACTTGTCCGCAGTCCTACACCTGGCCCCCTCCACCAAGGGACTCAACAAAAGCCATCCCTGTGGGTACTTCTGATAACAGGTCTGCCCTCAGAGCTGACTGTTGTTCCTGCATCCCAGCTCTAGTTCCACTCTCTTATGGTGTGGAGGCAGTCCTGCTCTCCCAGGAACCAGCCCAGTAAACTGATGGGAGTATTAACTGTTGCCCAGCAGAAGTCACACCTGACTGCAGACTTAGCAAAAACCACAAGACATGGATCCAGCAGTGCTCTACCACAATTTGAGGTAGTCTTTCACTGCCAGGAATCCACCCAAAAGACCCAGCAGAAGCCACACTTGTAGTTGCTTCCAGTTAAACACCCACTGACCTCAGACCTGAGTACAATCCCTGAGGCAGTCTTGTGACCCAACTTTAGTCCCACTCTACCACAGTCCAAAAGCAGTCCTACCCACCCATGGACCAGCCCAGTGACATGACAGGAGCGCCCTTAGGAACCCATGGGACACAACACCTGACTGTACCCCGATGACATGCTTGCCAACCATGAACCTGGCAATAGCCACATGACATGGTTTCAGCCTTACTCAACCACAATCCCAGAAGCAGCCCTATCAGTTGTAGGACTTGGCGGGATAAAGTCTACCTGCCAAAATAAGTCTGTAAAGACTGGAAGAGGAATCTGCTTTTTCAAATACACAGATACCAAGAAAGAATCAGACAAACATGTCAACACCAAAGGAAGCTAATAAAGCTGTACTAACTGACCCAAAAGAAACAGAGACCCATGAACTGCTTGACAAAAATTTTAAATATTGTCTTAAAGAAACTCAGTTGACTATGAGAGAACACATTCAACTAAATGAAATCAGAAAAATGATACATGAACAAAATGAGAAGTTTAACAAAGAAATAGAAACCATTAAAAAGAAACAGAAATCCTGGAGCTGAAGAACTGAACTGAAAAATTCTATAGAGTTTCAGCATCAGACTTGATCATGCAGAAGGAAATCAGCAAACTTGAAGATAGGTCATTTGAAATCATCCAGTTAGAGGAACAAAGAGAAGAAAGAATGAAAGAGTGATGAAAACCTACATGAGTTATGGAACATCTTAAAGTAAACCAATATACACATTATGAAAATCCCAGAAGGAGTACAGAATGACAAAGGAACAGAAAGTTTATAAAGAAATAATAATAGAAAACTTTCCAAATTTGGGGAGGGAGTTGAACATCCAGATCCATGACACCCAAAGAATCACAAATAGGCTCAACATCAAGAGGTCTTCAGTTAGACACATTATAATCAAATTGCCAAAAATAAAAAAGAATTTTGAAAACAGGAAATGATTCATCACATACAAAGGACTCCCCCCAACCCCTATAAAACTGTCAATGGATTTCTTAGAAGAAACCTTGCAGCAGAGAGAGAGTGGTATGATATATTCAAAGTACTGAAAGAAAAAAACTGCAAACCAGGAATACTATACCCAGCAAAGTTGTCCATCAGAAATGAAGGAGAGATTAAAAATTTTCTTTTTTTTTTTTTTAAAGATTTTATTTATTTATTTGAGAGAGAGAATGAGAGGCAGCACAAGAGGGAAGAGGGTCAGAGGGAGAAGCAGACCCCCCGCTGAGCAGGGAGCCCGATGCGGGACTCGATCCCAGGACTCCAGGATCATGACCTGAGCCAAAGGCAGTCACTTAACCAACTGAGCCACCCAGGCGCCCTAAAAATTTTCTAAGACAAGCAAAAGCTCAAAAGGGGTTACATCACCATTAGAGTTGCTGTATAAGAAATGCTGAAGAGTTTTTCAAGTGGAAATGAAAGGATACTAGTTAGCAACACAAAAATATATGAAGGTATAAAACTCACTGGTAAAAGTAAGTATATGGTCAAACTCAGAATAATCTGAATGTAATAATAGTACATAAATCACTTTTAACACTAATATAGAAGTTAAAAGATAAGAGTATTAAAAATAATAGAGGTACAATAGTGTGTTAATTGATATACAATATAAAAACATGTATGACATCAGTAACAAAAATGTGAGGGAGCAGAGAAGTAAAAGTGTGGAGATTTTTATGTGATTGAAGTTAAATTTGTTACAAATTTAGAACTATAAGATGTTTTATGTAAGCCTCATGCTAATCAGAAGAAAAATGTGTAGTAGACAAAAGATAAAGGAATGAAAGCAACCAGTATAAAAATTCAACAAATCGCAAAAAAAGACAGCTAAAATAAGAATAAAGGAACAAAGGAATTGCAAAACAGAAAACAGTTAACAGAATCACAATAGTTATTACCTGTTAATAATTACTTTTAAGTAGATTAAATTATCTAATCAAAAAACATAGACTAAATGGATTAGAAAATAAGATCCAGGCATATGGTGCTTACTAGAAAGTCACTTTACATTTGAGGAAGCACATAGGCCAAAAGTGAAGAGATGGCAAAAGATATTCCATACAAATGGTACCCAAAGACAGCAGGGGTATCTTATATCAGACAAATAGACTTAGGTCAAAAATTATCATGAGACAAAAATGATTATTATATAATGATAAAAAGGGGTTAATTCATCAAGAGAAAATAACAATCATAAAACTATATGCACTCAACATCAGAGCACCTAAATATATAAAGCAAATATTAACAGAGCTGAAGGGAAAAATAGAGAGCAATAAAGTAACAGTAGGAAACTAATAGCTCACTTTCAACAATAGACAGATCATCCAGAACAGAAAATCAGTAAGAAAACAGTACCCTTGAACAATGCTAAAGACCAAATTGGCCTAACATTCTGTCCTACACACCAGAAGACACATTCATCTCAAGTGTTGAATTCTCCAGGATCAGATGATAGGCCACAAGTCTTAGCAAATTTAAGAAGATTAAAATTATATCAAGTATCTTTTCCAAGTGCAATGGTATGAAACTACAGATCAGTAACGGGAAGAATACTGGAAAATTAACACACTCTTGAACAATCAGTGGATCAAAAGGGAAATCAAAAATATCCTGACACAAATGAAAATGGAAGCATAATATACCAAAAATTAGGGGATGTAGTAAAATCACTTCTCAGAGGGATGTTTATAGCAAAGTTTTAACAATAAATATACATTAAGAAATCTCTCAAATAAACAACCTAACCATACACCTCAAGAACTAGAAAAAGAAGAAAAATATTAAGCCCAAAAGGAAGGAAGTAACAGAGATAAGAGTAGAAATAGAGAATTTTTACAAAACAATAGAAAAGATCAATAAAACTTTTTTTTTTTTAAGGTTTTATTTATTTATTTGACAGAGACACACAGAGAGAGGGAACACAAGCAGGGGGAGTGGGAGAGAGAGAAGCAGGCTTCCTGCCGAGCAGGGAGCCCGATGTGGGGCTTGATCCCAGGACCCTGGGACCATGACCCGGTCCGAAAGCAGACGCCTAATGACTGAGCCACCCAGGCATCCCTTAAAAGATAAAATTGACAGTCTTTTAGCTAGACTAAGAAAAAAAGACTCAAAATCAGAAATAAAAGAGGGGAGACATTATAGCTGATACTACGCGAATACAAGGGACCATAAGAGACTACTGTGAACAATTATATGCCAACAAATTAGATAAACTTGAAGAAATGGATAAATTTCTAGAAACATACGACCTCCCAAGACTGAATCTGAAAACTAGTAAGGAGATTGAATCAGTAATCAAAAACCTCCTTGGGTTTTGGAAAAGCCTAGAACCAGATGGCTTCACTGGTGAATTCTACTAAACATTTAAAGGAGACTTAAATTCCAGTCCTTCTCAAACTCTTCCAAAAAATTGAAGAGAGAACATTTCCAAACTCATTTTATGAGGCCAGCATTACTCTGATACCAAAACAAGACCAAAGACACTATCAGAAAATAGAATACCAGGCTTGGGTGGAGGGATGGTTTAGCCTGGTGATGGGTATTAAAGAGGGCACATATTGAATGGAGCACTGGGTGTTATATGCAAACAATGAATCATGGAACACTACATCAAAAACTAATGATGTAATGTATGGTGATTAACATAATATAAGAAAATAAAATTAAAAAAAAGAAAATAGAATACCAGGCTTAATATCCATGATGAACACAGATGTAAAAATACTCCAAAAAACATACTAGCAAACCAAATTCAATAGCACATTAAAAGGATCATACACAATTGTCAAGTGGAATTAATACCTGGGAGACAAGGATGGTATGCAGGTCGGTAAATGGGCTATACCACATTAAAGAATGAAGGATAAAACTCATGATCATCTCAATAGATACAGAAAAAGCATTTCACAAAATATAACATCCATTCATGATTAAAGAAATAACAAATTAGAGAAGAAATGTCCCTCAACCTACTAAAGGCCATATATGACAAGCCCACAACTAACATCATACTGAATGGTGAAAAAAGCTAAAGTCTTTTCCCTTAAGATCAAGAACAAGACTGTGGTGCCCACTCTTGCCACTTCTATTCAACATAGTAATGGAAGTGCTAGTCAGAGCAGTTACAAGAAAAAAAAAAAAAGAAAATCATCCAAATTAGAAGTAAAATTGACTCTGTTTACAGACAACATGATCCTATATATTGAAAAAACCCTGAAGACGCCACCAAAAAAGTCATTAGATCTAATATATAAATTCAGTATAGCTATAGGATGCAAAATCAACATACCAAAATCAGTTGCATTTCTATCCGCTAACAACAAACTATTTGAAAAAGAAATGAACAATCCCATTCACAAGAGCTTCAAAATGAATAAAATACTTAGAATAAATTTAACCAAGAAAGTAAAAAAAATTTTACACTGAAAACTAAAAATCATTGGTGAAGGAAATTGAGAAAGTCACATATAAATGTAAAGATACCATCTTCATGAATTGGATGAAATAATAGTGTTAGAATGTCCATACTATCCAAAGCAGTCTTCAGATTTGATAAAATTCCTATCAAATTTCCAATGGCATTTTTCACAAAAATAGAAAAACCAATCCTAAAATTCATAATGGGGGCGCCTGGATGGCTCAGTCAGTTAAGCATCTGCCTTTGGCTGCGGTCATGATCCTGGGATCCTGGGATCGAGAAGCCCTGTGACTGGCTCCCTGCTCAGCAGAGAGCCTCTTCTCCCTCCTTCTTCCACTCCCTCTGCTTGTGCTCTCTCTCTTTCTGTCAAATAAATAAATCCTTAAAAAAGAATTCATAATGAATCTCAGAAGATTTTGAATAGACAAAGCAATCTTAAGAAGAGCAAGCTGAATGCATCACAGTTCCTGATTTCAAAAAATATTACAAGTCTTCAGTAATCAAAATAGTATGGGAGATGCCTGGGTGGCTCAGTTGGTTAAGTGTCTGCCTTCAGCTCAGGTCATGATCCCAGTGTCCTGGGATTGAGTCCAGCATCAGGCTCCTTGCTCAGCGAGGAGCCTGCTTCTCCCTCTGCCTGCTGCTCCCCCTGCTTTTGCTCTTTCTCTCTCTGACAAATAAAATCTTAAATAAATAAATGAAAGAAAAATTAAAAAATCAAAGCAGTATGGTACAGGCATAAAAAGTAGACATGTAGATCAATGGAAATAAATACATGCATTTATGGCCAGCTGATCTTTGACAAGAGTGCCAAGAACACACAATGGGGAAAGGATAGTGTTTTCAATAAGTGGTGTTGGGAAAACTGGATGTCCATATGCAGAAGAATGAAATTGAACCCTTATCTCACACCATATACAAAAGTCAACTCAAAATGGATTCAAGACTGAAATGTAAATTCTGAAACTGTAAAACTACTAGAAGAAAACAGGGGGAAAGCTTCTTGACGGTCTTCGCAGTGATTTTCAGATCTGACCCGATAAGTACAACTAACAAAAGCAAAAATAAATAAGCGGAATTACATCAAACTAAAAAGTTCCTGCATAACAAAGAGGAAAATCAAGAGTGAAAAGACCACCTAAAGCATAGGAGAAAATATTTGCAAGCAGTATCTGATAAGGAGTTAATATCGAAAATATGTAAGGAAGTTGAACAATTCAATAGCAAAACAAATAAACTGCTTTAGAAATGGGAAAAGGACCTGAAGAGACTTTTCTCAGAAGACATACAAATGGCCAACAGGTATATCAAAAGGTGCTCTTCATCACTGATCATCAGGGAAATGCAAATCAAAATCACATTGAGGTGTCCCCTCACACCTGTTGGAATGGCTATGAAAAAGACAAAAGATAGACTCCAGGTAAAGATGGCAGAGCACAGTTACAGCTTTTGGCTGACTGCATTCAGCAAATGTAAACTTACCCGGATTGAATATGCTTTCACTGCTGTAGCTGGAGAAGCCCCTCCAGTGGGAATTAAAGCTGCAAATAGTGTGGTATTAGCAACTGAGAAGAAACAAATCCATTCTGTATGATGAGCAAGGTGTACAAAAAGTGGAATCAATCAGGCTTGGTGTATAGTGGCATGGGCCCAGATTACAGAGTGCTTGTGTACAGAGCTCAAAAACTAGCTCAGTGATACTATCTCATTTACCAAGAACCCATTCTAGCAGCTCAGCTGGTATAGTGATGCAAGAATATACTCAGTCAGGTGATGGTCATGCATTTGGAGTTTCTTTACTAATTTGTGGTTGGAATGAGGGGCAGCTGTATTTATTTCAGTCAGATCCATCTGGAGCTCACTTTGCCTGGTAAGCCTCAGCAATGGGAAAGAACTATGTGAATGGGAAGACTTTCCTCAAGAAAAATAACAAAGACCTGGAATTTGAAGATGCATTCATGTGGCCATATTAACCCTAAAGGAAAGCTTTGAAGGGCAGATGACAGAAGATAACATAGAAGTTGGAACCTGCAGTAAAGCCAGATTTAGGAGGCTTACTTCAGCTGAAGTGAAGGATTACTAGGCTGCCATTAGCATAACGAAGTGATTGGAAAATCCAGAATTTCAGATAATCCTTTTTCTTAACCATGTTTAAAGTATGTTTTGGTTTGCAGGCTTTTTGCATACTTACTTCTACATGGCTTAATGGACTGATGTTTTTTAAATAACATTCATAAATCATAATAAACTTAAATCAAAAAAAAAAAAAAGACAAAAGATAACCAGTGTTGGTGAGGATATGGAGAAAAGGAAACCCTTGTACATTGTTGGTGGGAATGTAAATTGGTACAACCACTATGAAAAACTGTACGGAGGTTCCTCAAAAAAGTTTAAAAACTACCATATGATCCATTTCTGGGTATATATCCAAAGGAAACAAAATCGCTATCTCAAAAAAATATCTACCCTCTTACATTCATTGCAGTATTATTCACAGTAGACAAGATATGGAGACAACCTAAGTGTCCATTAACAGATGAATGGATGTTGCGGGGGGTGAATAGATGGATATTTATTTCTAGTTATCCCCCCAGTTCTCTATTTTTTTCTTACAATTTGTTGAAAACCTAGGTTGTTTGTATTCTAGTTTCCTCTGCCTGCATGCATATATGTGATGCCATTTACCTTGTTTCTCTGTCCCATGTAATTCCTAAAAACTAGTAATCAAATCAAGAGGCTTGACCTGATCCAGTTCACATTTTTTTGTAAGAATTCTTTATAAATCGTAATATTTTGGACTTCAGTTTGTAGGCACATAATATGTGATTATTTCTGATGTTAGCATCTTTCTGATTTTATCATTTGATGATCATTGCCTAGATCTGTCATTTCATTAGGAACTTTATCAGCCAAAGTTGAAATAGGAAAAAAAAGCCAAAATATTATGGAAATTAAAGACCTTATATATTCCCTCTGACACGTATTGACCAGATAATGTTCGCAGTATTTGATTAGCAAGATTGAAAAAATGGAAATTTTTAAAGATAGGAATAAAAATTAGCAATATATTGAAGCAATATACGTTTGAAGGTTGGGTCACCCAGTAATCCATTGTGGAGAAAGTTCAAGAAATATAACCTATTTAAACTGATAAAACAAGAGGCTTATAGAACTGGAAGTTTATTTTTAAAAAAAATTTTAAGTCATATAACAGGAAAATATGAAATAGGTCTTATTGTAATTTAGTAATATAGACAGCTAATGTGTCTTCTTATGGAGTTGATTGAAGTAATAAAGGAATTTTGATCATTACCTACATCACCTTCCTTACCATTAGCTTCAGTTTATCCCCTTGAAGTCTTTGTTACACAGTGATTCTCACTGTTAGCAAAATTTGAAAAAAAGTTTCACATAGATTTTCTAGGTGAGTGGTAACAGTTCAGTTTATTAGATGAGATTGCTAAATTGGTTGTATTTGCCTGGGATAATACAACATTGTGAAACTACATAGTTTAAGTCTACAGTGAAGAGTAATGGGTCAGAACAAAGAATACAAAAGTCTATACTATAAAACATAACTTCTTGACTTTCATTACAGATCATTAAGTTTAAAGGTTCCTTTTGTTTTTTTAATCAGTTCTTCAGAAGAGATATCACGTTGCCAAGAAATGATTCAGAAACTTCAAAACATATTGGAGTCTGAGAGAGAGAACTGTGGATTTGTCAGTGAACAAAGGCTGAAACTTCAGCAAGAAAATGAACAGTTACAGAAAGAGACTGAAGATTTAAGAAAGCTTGCTCTCGAGGCTCAAAAAAAAGCCAAATTAAAGGTATTTTGAAGACTAGTTAGAGTTAAATGTGTACTTGTGAAAGTCAAAATATAAAAAGTATTTAGAGAGACCCAGTAAAACATTTTTAAGGCCTTTTTTTTTTTGCCTTTTCATCAGATAGCATTAAATCATAATGCAGAGCATTAACCAGTCTTTTTTGTATTGTAGAATTTGGCAAGCGTACTTGATTGCTTTCACTATCCACACACACACAAAATTCTTTGCAACCATGAAATACACTGATATTCCTGCCAAAGCAATTTAAGCAGTGCTAGCAAAACTATAGATTAGATAACTTTATAGACTACCATCCTCTCTTCTATAATAGCCTCTTAAAAATTGAACTCTAAAACTAGCTTTATAGAGGATGCTACATCAGTACACTCTGAGAACCTCTCATATGTAGTCTAAAATTTCCATGCTAGGAGGAAGGCAAGGGACAAAAGTCTCCTTTAGAAAAAAAATTCTCCTTTATTGTCACTCTCTTTTCCTCCTTCCTCATGCTAATGTTTAACATGCTTTGACAATAGGAACAAGATAACCTGTTTAAGGGAGTTTCAAGAAGCACCGGTATCATCTTCACCATGTTCCTTGCCCTTACCCCATTCCATGCAACTTTTATAAAAGTTGTCATTAACTCTTTATGATAAAGACCTATATCTTCCAGTTTCATAGAAGGGATATGAGGTGGCAGTATTCATGTTTCACTTTGTTTTTTGTTGCTCTATACTCATAAGAAGTCACATTCCAGTCTAATTCATATCAACACATTTATTGAATGCCTCCTACTGCAAGCATCAGACATTAGTTATTTATAAAAGCTTGAACTCTGAAAGAGGGCCTTATATCATACAGAGAGGTTTCTACTTTATGCTTTAGTCTGTGGGGATTCAAGACTTGATACAAAGCTATAGTAATTAAGACAGTGTGCTATCAGTATAATAATAATTAGCTTGATCAATGGAACAAAACAGAGTCCAGGAACAAACCCATTTTTCATAATCACTTCATTTGTAACAAAAGCACCACTGTAGTTCAATATGGAAAGAATTATCTTTATAATAAATGATGCTAGATCAGTTGGGTCCATATTTTAAAAATAAACCTTGACCCCTATATCATACCATACATTTAAATTAATTTGAGCTGCCTTGTAGACCTAAAAGCAACATATAAAACAATGGAGCTTCATAGAGAAAATCTTCATGATCTTGGGTAAGAAAGAATTTCTTAATGAGAACACAAAAGCAATAATCATAACATAAAGATTAATTGGATTTCATTAAATTAATATTATTGAGTCATCAAAAGACACCACAGTACAATGCTGACTCTGGTTTGCCAGTTTTGCCTATTAAAAATCACAATCTAAATTGTCAAAAAAAAAAAAAGATATCATTAAGAGAGTGAAAGTGAAAGAAAGTATAATACAAGAAGTATTTGTAATACATAAAATATAGATAATACATGTGTAATATAATATTTTATAATACAATAATATAATATATAAATAGGCATTTATATATGTAATACAAACAAAAGACTAATATTTAGAATATAAAAACTGTTACCAATTAATAATGATAAAACCACAATTAATAAGGAAAAAACAAGCACCCTATTTCCAAAAATGGGCAAAAAACTGAAATATGCACTTCACAAAAGAGAATATATGAAAAAATGTTCAACTGCATTATTTATCAACAAAATATAATTAAAATTACAATGAGGTACCACTGCATACTGACCAGAATGGCTAAAGTTCAAAAAAAACTAAGAGCATCAAGTGTTGACAAAGATAGATATAAAGCAACTGGAACTTCCATACAATACTTTGGGAATGTAAGTTGATATAACCACCAGTTAGCGGTGTCTTTTAAAGTTGGACATACATACATACAATGCCAAATAATGCTGGCTTCATACCCACAGATATGAGTGCTTATGTTCATGAAAACACGCATATAAGAATATTCATAGAAGTTTTAATCCTGTCAAAAATTGAAAATAACGCAAATGTCCATCCACATGAGATTACATAAATAAATGGTGGTGTACTCAAATCATGAAATAGATAGCAGGAATAAAAAAGAATGAACTATGTCTATAAGTAATAATGGATGAGTCTCACAGACCTAATGTTGAACAAAGAAGCCAGACATAAAAAAGCTCATAGTCTATTAATTTCATTATATAAAAGTGAAGAATAGGCATAATTACCTACGAGGGTGAGATCAGAATAGCAGTTACATTTTCGAAGGGTAAGTAATGATTAGAAGGGCATATGAGGGAGCCTCTGGGGGGGCATCTAAATCAGGGTGGTGACTCTGATATGTCAGGATATTTGTAAAACTTGAGTTGTACCCCTAAGACTTATGTAGTACATTGTAAGCAAAAGATAAATCTTGGCAAAGGAAGGTCAGTAGGATTGTAGATAAAACAAGAACAGTTTTGAGTTTGATGCTTGTGGAAGCTGGGTGATAGGCATATAGGGATTCGTTGTAATATTCTGTTTTGTGTATGCTTGAAAGTTCTCATACTAAAACATTTCCATAATAAAATAAGTCCGTGTACTTTGGTGAAAAAATGTTATATCTTTCTCTTATATTTTAAATTTCATATTATAAATTTCATATGGATTAATAACTAAAAGCTACTAGTGAAACTATAAAACATTAGTAGGAAATGTAGGCAAATGTATAACTGATAGATGAAAAAGAACTTTCCTAACAAAACAAAACCAAAAAAAAAAAAGGAAGAAATTGCAAATGAATATATTAATAGATTTAAATATATAAAGTTTTTAAATATTTAGAACCATTTTTTAAGTGTTTAGAAAAGAAATAACTGGGGGAAATAATTTTAGTAAATATATCAAAAGACAAAAACCATATAAGGAGCTTTGAAAAATATTAAAGAAGAATATTTGTAACCTATAAGAAAAACATGTATGAGACATGAACAGAACTCACAAACTAAGGAAACAAATTGCTAATGAACAATTTTTAAAGTTTAAACTCACTGTTGATTAACTGCATGGTTACCAGTGTGAGTAAATGTGCAGCTGAGAGTTTAAAATGCTACAGAGTCTAAAATTTCATAAGAAAATAATTAGGATATTTCATAATTTAAAAAATTCATTGCAGCATTATTCATAATAACAAATTAGAGACAACCTCTCTAGAAATAAAGGAACAATGAAATACTTTGAGTCATCATTAAAAATTGTTTCCAAATAATTTGTAATGCTTTTATATTGCTGTGTTCTAGGTTTAAAAATAATAAAAACTTCTGAATATATATTTATATATATATTGCAATTCCATATACACTAATCTGAATTCTAAAATTCATAAATAAAAACAATTATGTAGAAGTAGAGGTGGTTTTCTCTGAGTTATAGGTTACAGAGACCTTACATTTGTTTTTAATTTTTTTATTTTCCATTATTTTACAATATACATCTGTTTTGGGGTTTTGGTTTTTATAATGGGGAAGAGACAAATCAATGACTTTCCCTTACCTGGTACTACATTCTATCTATCTTTAACAGTTCAGGATAGTAATTGATATTTTAGAGAACAGAAGAATGACCAAAAGCTTATCTATCCCACATGTCCCACCAAAACTGCTCCCTTTTTGCCAAGTCTGCATCTAGCTTAAGAATTATTGGTAAATAAAGGGCAGACCTCTTAACTAACTAGATAGCTGTAAATTCTGTTTTATAAAGGAGAATCACTGTCAGATAACTGCTGCTTTGTAGCTGATTCCTTCTTTGCCAACATAGGAAACTAGTGCTACACTTCGCCGCTTTTCTTCCCCTTGAAAAACAGTGTGATCTTCCATAGACAAACTGAAAGGAGCCAAAAAGATCAAGACAGTTGGATATTGAGAGGTCAGTTGGCTGAGAACCTTACAACTTATTATATGAAACTTTCATTTGATCTTAAGGCTACTGCATTCCTTTCAGCCCTAGCTTTCCCCTTTTCTGACTTCTCTGTTCTTTCTGCCAGGGCTCTCCATTTCTTTGTGTCTAAATTCTCCTCATAAGTACATAAAATTAGGAAATGGATAGTTTTAGTATTCCAATCTATTTGTGTGAGTGGTTCTCTGCAGAGGAAGAACACAAAGGAAAACGGGAGGGAGACCATAAATCCTTTCTTCCTACCAATATACCGAATTTAATCATCAGTTGCATTTTTGTTATAGGAGACCTGGTTGTAGCCCAGAGTCTTCCAACATCACTGCCGGCCTGTCCAGTTTAACAACTGGGATTTTATCAGCTAAAGGATCTGGGGAGTGTTTAAAGACTAAATTTTGATACCAAAAAGCGATCATTCACTCTGTCTACACAGTGTTTTGATGACTTTACTATGTTTCGGGTGCTGAAGATACAATGAAGACATGATCCCTCTGACCCAGCCCCCTCCTTAAAAACATAATTTTTGTATGGAGATGGACAAACTTTTAACATACATTTACAAACTAATAAATGCACTTTAGGAAAAACTTAGGGCCCTGTAGGAGCTTATAACAGAGGGACCTGATTTTGTCTAGATAGAAGCAATAATTGAGCTAAGTTTTAAAAGTTGGTGGGGGCGCCTGGGTGGCTCAGTCGGTTAGGTGGCTGCCTTCGGCTCGGGTCGTGGTCCCAGGGTCCTGGGATCGAGCCCCGCGTCGGGTTCCCTGCTCAGCGGGAGGCCTGCTTCTCCCTCTCCCACTCCCCCTGCTTGTGTTCCCTCTCTCACTGTCTCTCTCTGTCAAATAAATAAATAAAATCTTTAAAAAAAAAAAAAAGTTGAATACAAATAACTAAGGCAAGCAAGAGGGGTAAGATTATTCCAGGCACAAGGAACAACATGTGAAAATGAGCCAAGAATGAGACGGCATTGTGACAGAAACAAAGAAAGAGTAGGTAATAGTGGCATAACACAAGCTTGTAGAAGTAGGCAGAGACCAGGTTATCATGAAGGACCTCAGAACAAGGCTTGTCAAATTACAAATAGGTTTTCCAAGAGGAAATGGGGAGCTAACTAGGCAGGCTGACTTCTAAAACTATATAGATGCATATATCAGTTTTTAATATATATGTGAGAAAGACAAAGACAGAAACACACAGTTCCGCCTAACATAACCATGGCTTCTCCAAAGTTGAGATTGAGGCAGAGAAGGAGAAGGAATATATTCAAATCTAAATTTATAGAATCCAATAATAAAAAAATTAGTAAATTAGCAGGAGTCAGGGAGCCTCAGGAGGCTTTAGTACAGTACAGAATTAATAAATCCATGGTGGTTTTCCCAGTATTTAGGGCCAGTATTTAGAAAGTCTTAAATTTCTACTTGTGTACTATTTGAGAAAGAAAATTTAAGCAATTTAGGAAACACGTTGCATTTAGCAGAAGTAGTAAGAACAGTGTGTTTGCAGTTTACCCCACAAACCATGGATTTTGCTCTTGTTGGGTTTTCCTTGGTGTTGAGAAAGTTGAGTCCCTGATTCATCCTTTTTTGATTTTGAAAGTAGCCATATTTAATGAATTATTAGAAGCTATACCAGCTGTAATGATTTTTAAAGCACATTACTTTAAAATACCACAAGATATTCTTTATAATATTTCTTTAGTAAGATAAAGATGGCCCTAGAGTACACCAAAGAACTTCGTGACTATTTTCTCAATTGCCTCCAGGATGGTAATAGGTAGTTTCATTCTAGATGCATGCAAGAGAAGGCAATTCATTACATACATTGAATGCCAGAGAGCATTAGGGCTTCATTTTCTCCCTGATCCCCAGTCAAGAAAACTTCTAGAGTATCCAAAGAGCATTTACTTATATGTTTATTCTGCATTAGGGTATTTTTACTATAATGACATAAATTACCTAGAGATAATGGAAGATATTTCCATATGAGACTCTGAAAATCATTAGTCTTTTTTTCCTGAAAAAAAAAGTATTTATATCATAACTGAAGTGGTAAAGGCCTTCTTGTATATGATTTTCTTTACAAAACCCTTTGAAAGACAATTTGAAATTTAGTATAAAGTGACTTGAGATTTTGAGTTGTTGAACACATCAAGGTGCCAAGAGGGTGGTGCACTTGGGGAGGTTGTAGAAGCTCTGTAATTTTTTTAATGGCTTGAGTAAAAAACTCTCAGTTACTGACAGCATGAATATTTTGATGGATTCTGGCAACAGAAGTTAAAGTAGATAGTAAGAGCGGTTTATATTAGATAGTTTACTTTTTTCCTATTGGCAGTTAAGGTGTTGAAGAAAGTGTTGCAAAAAAATTGTAGTCCATCATAATTTTTGTTTCACTAAATTTATATTGTACTATAAATTTATATATATATAATTACATATAAATATATAATTAATATAGGATAAGTCTTCATTTGTGATGAAGACATAAACTTAATTTTTTTTTTTTTTAAGATTTTATTTATTTATTTGAGAGACAGAGAGCACGAGAGGGAAGAGGGCAGAGGGGGAAGCAGACCCCCCGCTGAGCAGGGAGCCCGATGTGGGACTCGATCCCAGGACTCCAGGATCATGACCTGAGCCGAAGGCAGTTGCTTAACCAACTGAGCCACCCAGGCGCCCCATAAACTTAATTTTTATATAGATTTCTCATCCAAACATTTCTGTGCCTCAAACAACACAATGAATGATTTCTTTTGTGTATTATCATTGATCAGTATATCTCCTATAATAACAGAAAAGAAAAAGAAGATACTGTGTTCATTTTATTCCTTAGATCAGTACAATGGAACATGAATTTTCAATAAGGGAACATGGATTTGAAGTTCAACTGAGAGAGCTGGAAGATAGTAATCGAAATTCCACTGTTGAACTGAGGCATCTCTTAGTGACTCAACAGAAGGCGGCCAATAGGTGGAAAGAAGAAACAAAGAAACTTACTGAAAGTGCAGAAATTAGAATCAGTAATCTAAAGTAAGTCCACTATTAATTGTTTGATACATTTTACAGAATAAATTATTTAACATTTAATGGTCCTTGCCGTAATCTTGTAAAAATCTTGTATTTTTATTAAGCAAATATTATTGAACTGCTGTGAAAAATATTAAGCATTATAAACCGAAACTCATACTATGTATTTTTGTAAATTTTATGCATATTCCACAAAATATAATGATTTTTGTTGGACATAGTTTAGAATCTTAATACTCTTTGCATATAGGCATAGCATAATAATGTTTTATGGTTGGGCAGCAGGATCTGATTGATTTGCAAAGCCTAAAGTATTTGCTCTGTGGCCCTTGGAGAAAAGGTTTGCTGACCCCTGCCCAGAAAGTACTTGAGCTTTTAGGCTGAATGCAATGGAATGCTGTGGAAGGCTTTGAGCAAAGTGATATGATCAGGCTTAAATGTTCAACAAATCAGTTTGATTGCAGTTTGAAGAATAGACTTAGAGGGGCAAGGGTAGAAGGGAGAAGGTAGGCGAGTACTGTATATAATAGATAAAATGTAACTTGGATTAGATTTTAAAGGGTTGGAGATCATTAAAAAAAAGTTTGAGCCATGTTAAATATGAGCTGCCTAGAAAACATTTAAATCAGGATATCAGCTAGTCAGCTGAGTCTGTAAGTTTGGAGTTCAGGGAAGAGATTGCAGCAGGAGCTATAAATGTGGGAGTCATTAACATACACGTGATTTTTTAAGTCATGGGATGAGAACATGTAGAAAGGAAGTCTAGATAAATTAAACTAAAGACTGAGTTCCAAAAGTTAAAGTCTGGAGAGATGAAAATTCCACACTGCAAGAGACTGAGAAAGAATATCCAGAGAAGTAAGAATCATGATAGAATGGTTAAAAAAAAAAATTATTTTTCAGAAGGAGTATAAGCAATAATAATAGGTGATATTTACTTACTAGCACATGTTTGTTGTTCTAAACAACTTACATGCACATAATTAATCTTGACAGCAACCCTACAAAGTGGATAACACTATCATTTACATTTTACAGATAAAGAAACTGAAGCTGAGGGAGGTTAAGGAACTTGTTCAAAATCACATAGCTAACAAAATGACCAGTAAAGACAGTATGCTCTTAACCATTGTTTTATAAAATGCTACTGAGTGGTTGAGTAAAGTGAAGACAGAGAATGGACCTTTTAGTTTGGCACCCTCTGATGGTCTTTGTTAACCATGATAAGAGCAGTTTTGGTAGAATGCTGGAATAAAAATGTATTTAGAATGAATTTAAGAGAAGAGAATTTCTGCTTCCAGTTTAATGGTGAGCTAGGTAATTGGAACCTCTACCACAACTAAAAAAATTAGATGAATTATAAAAAGCATCTACTAAGAGCATTGAAGAACTAACAAAAATAATTATTACCAATTTGACCTTATCCCAGGAATGCAAAATTATTAAAACATTAGAAAATAAGTTAATATAATTTATCACATTAAATTTTTAAAAGAGAAAAATCATAAGGTCTCCTCAACAGATACAGAAAAGGCATTTGATAAAATTAGATATCCACTTATATTTCAAAATAACTCTTAGCAAACGAGGAATAGAATTTCTTTAATTTTGTCAAGGTATCTATTCTAAAGAAACATTATTTTTAATGGCAAAAAAAATGTTAGTAATTTTCCTTTGAAGATTGAGAAGATAACAAAGAAGTTCATTATTACCACTTGTATTAATATTTGTATCAGAAGTCCTCATCAGTGCACTGTGGCAAGAAAATGAAATAGAAGGTATACAAACTAGAAAGGAAGGAAGAAAACAGTCATTCTTCACAGACAACATGACTGTATATGTAGTAAGTCCAAAATAATTAATAGATAATAGGCAAATATACAAAAATCAATTGTATTTCTACATATCTGCAACAAATACTTCAAAACAAAACTTTAGTAAAATTTACAGTGCATCAAAAAACATCAGATGCTCAGGAATATAACAATGTGTGAGATTTCTACATGAGAACTATGATAGCAGGAAGATTAAAGAAGGCCTAAGTAAATAGAAGTCAAGTTAATTGATCAGAATACTCAATGTTATGAATTTGTTAACAACCCCCCCCCGCCCAGCCATCTGTAGATTCAGTGTAATCCCAGACAAAATCCTAGCACATGGAGCAGTATCCAAAATATATTAAGTGAAAAAAACAAATTTTATACAGTACGTATAGTATTCTGCCCTTTAAGAGGGGAAAGTGTTCGTGTGTATGTGTGTGTGTGTGTGTACACATATATATACAAGCATGCTATACATACACTACATTCATATACATATGTGCACATTCTCTTCTTAAAAATAGAGAGGTGACCAAAACAATAATTAAAATGGTTCTCTATGAGGAGGGAGAAAGGAGTAAAGGATGAAGGCTAGACTTCTTTGAATGAACCTTGTCTTATAGATATATAGGCTTGAGTTTGAAACTATATAAATGTTCATATAATTATCTTTTAAATTAAATCAAAATTTTGTAAAAAACTAAAAATCGAAAGTAAAATTAAACAAATGAACTTAATTGTGTAGGAAGCTGATGGCTTAACTACACAAATAAATTATTTCAAGTGACATTAAACACAGTAATTAGACTGTATATCCCAAAAAAAAAAGACTGTATATCCCTAGTGAGATAAATCCTAAGGATAAAAGAAAATGTAAAAAACCATAAATTGCTTTTAGTAGTTATATCATTAGAAATAATATTGGTGTTATTATTCTGAAACTTATAATTACAAGATAAAGGCATTGAGTAATTATAGAAATGCCTTTAAGAACCAAGATTTTTATAATAAGAGGGAAGAAACTCAAATTAAATAAAACTTGTATTTCTACATTGAAATTGGGAATATTATCATGGGAACTCAAGATGTGTTTTACTCTTAAAAACATGTATTTCCTGGCTCTGTCCACTTAAGGAACCTAAGAGGCAGTGACCAGTATTCAGTTGCAATGAGGTGTCCTGAAAGAAACCAGGACTCTAGAGAAATGATTGATTACAGATCTAGGATAGAAAAGTATAATATGAGCCTAGAAACTGTGGAAAGAGCCGAGATGCCCTTCAACAGACAAATGGATAAAGAAGATGTGGTCCATATATACAATGGAATATTACTCAGCCATCAGAAAGGATGAATACCCAACTTTTGCATCAACATGGATGGCACTGGAGGAGATTATGCTAAGTGAAATAAGTCAAGCAGAGAAAGTCAATTATCATATGGTTTCACCTATTTGTGGAACATACGGAATAGCATGGAGGACACTAGGAGAAGGAAGGGAAAAATGAAGGGGGGGGAAATCAGAGGGGGAGACGAACCATGAGAGACTGTGGACTCCGGGAAACAAACTGAGGGTTTTAGAGGGGAGGGGTTGGGGGGATGGGTTAGCCTGGTGATGGATATTAAGGAGGGCATGAATTGCATGGAGCACTGGGTATTACACGCAAACAATGAATCATAGAACACTACATCAAAAACTAATGTACTGTGTGGTGACTAACATTAAAAAAAAGAGAGAGAGAAAAGAAAAGAAACACTTTGAGGTAGCAAAAGGGGAGGAAGGTATCAAGATTATTTGGGTCATGTCAGAAGGACCCAGGAGCCAACTTAAGTAGGCCCCCTCTGGCTGATGTGGGAACAATTTGAACATCAAAGAGTATCTGCAGTAAATTGAAACATGTCAAATATATTAAAAACCCATGACTTCAGAATAATATTAAATAAAGAAAAAAAGCCTTTGGTCACCTTTGGAAGATCCTATGGAACCAGCTCTTTCTGAAAAAAGATAAAGGGAAAAATCAGGCTTTTATTGTACCTTTCCTTTACTCACTATACTTCATGAAATGCTTCTTGGCCTTTCCTACTATAATAGCCCTTACTTCACTGATTGGGGAACCAGCGTAGGGATTTTGCCAGTTAGTTGCTCAATGTGTCTGTTCTGATTATGCATCCCAGAACCAGGGAAATAAACACAGAATAGGATTATAGACACACTAGTTGTGAGACTTAGGCCAAGACTTCACTGATGACCTGATCTGCATAAACCTCTCCTGGTTGGTGGACCACAGTGCTATTTGGGGTCTCTAGGAATTTTTTCAGCAAAGTGTCCAGTAATCTGAAAATGTCTGGATTCCTCCTTCCCCACTGCATGGTCACCCTGCTAACTCTTCACAGATCCCTTAGGGGAAGGCCAGGAGGAAGTATATATGGGAACCTGCAGCCCCTTTCTTTATTCAAGAGGCTTTGAGTCTGTGAACTGACTCAAGTTTGAGAAATGGTTATATGGCTGTGACACTTTCTTGTAGTGATTCAAGTCAGGTTTGATTCTCCTTCTCCAAATCAAATAGTAGACCACCCATCTATTTCAGTTCTAGGGTCACAGTGATCAAACTTGTAGCAAATCCCAAAGATCTCTGCAGATCAGACTCTCCTGATAACTACTTCAACTTTGCTGCCCATTCTAGTAATGATGACCACATTTTCTTTGGAGATTTAAGGGTGCTACATCACCCTTGCCATTGAGAATCCTATCATCAACATTGAATTCAGGAAGCCCAGATCCATGATAGCAGTTGTCATTTCTGTTCCACAGTGAATAATATACAGAGCACTGCAGGGATACTGCAGCAACTCTCATGACTGTATTTCACACAGTCTTCATGGAGAAAATGTCCTCTGGACCCTCCTGAGGGTCAGAGTTGAAGGATGGAAGAGCTGCTTTTACATTAAAAAAAAAAAAAAACCTCACTGTTGTCTTCCAATCTCCCCCAGCCTTTAGTAACTTCCTCTACACTACTGATTCTCAGATGGGGATTACTTCATCCTTCTCCCTTCCCTGGAACATTTGTCTTAAAAATATCCAAAGACGTAAGGATGATTCTGGATCTAGTGTACAGAGGCCAGGGGTGCTGCTAAACATCGTATAATGCACAGAACAGCCCCTCAAAACAAAGGGTTTTCCAGCCA